GACCACACTCCCACTGAGTTTGTATTTCACTATAAAAGTATTTCAATACACACTCATAAAGCCTTTAAAGGCCACATAAACCCAACAGTTCTTTGAACAAATAAGTATTCATTTGAAAGGGTTCCTAAGATGCTTCTTATGCTCTTGACTATAGGGCTCTCTTCCTCTCTCCTCTTCAAGAGGAGATTTTATAGGTACTGACATTTATGATGTGATACCTATATATATGTGATTTCTTGCAAAATAAAAAAAATGGATACATTGCAAAATTGAGATGACCCAATTTTCTTCTTCGACTATAATTTGAGTTTGGTGATTGCAATGAGATGAAAATGTTTGTTTTTCTGTAATATCTTTCATGGAATTTAGGTCTTTTTCCTTTTAGGCCACGAAATGTGGTTATGCTAGGCCCTAAAGTATGTCTGAATTTGAAAGACCAGCTTACGTTCTTGGATTTACAGTCAAAAGTTTGCTTTTTAAGGGGAAGCTAAAACTTCATTGGTTTTCGCAACATTAAAAAGAAAATCTGGGTTTTAAACATTTTTTCCATATTGATGTTGGGGTGATTTTTTAAGATTTGTTAGACAAATCACTTTTATCGCACAAGTATCTGCCTCTCAGCAGTGAATTATTCATTGAACGGTTGACATTGGTTAATTTTCAAAATTGCAGGTTCATTCAAGCAAGAGCTATTGCAACCTTAGATTCTAGATAGGTTATTAAACATGGGGTCTACCTGTTCCGAGGCTTAGGTTTTCTAGATCCCCATTGTCAAACATGCCCATTTTGCATGAATTGCAATATCACCAAATATAAGAAACATAACCATGTATGTTTACTGCAATACCACAAAAGTGATGAGACACTTGTATTTCAATAAGGAAAAAGTTTATATAAGTGTGAGGCTCTAAACAATCAAATTAGAGCGCACCTCAAAAAATTTCACTAGAAGGGATCGTTTTGATGCCCAAATATCTTCAAATTGATCATCTCGACCTCAAGATGCATGGGCATGAAAAAAAAAAAAGATTTCAAGTTTAAAAAATAGTGTATCTTATATGCAATTTTGGATCATCAATTTTCAAGTTTTCATAGATCTGCTTGATCTACACTATTTTTTAAACTTTAAATTTTATAATTAGACATGAAAATCTATTTTAAGGCCATCACAAATATTTTCAGCATTACAACCACATTTCTCGACATTATTTGAAGGTGCGGTTTACTTTGGTTGTTTAGAGCCTCGGCTTTATACGAACCACACCCCACAAATGAGATGTACACTTAAAGGTCGTTTGGATACAGGTAAATATATTGTCTATCAAATATATTACTGGCGTAATACAATGATACATGCAAATGGATTGTTATTGTTTGGGTAGTATTTAGATGCAACCTAACGCGGTTTAATATGGAATTGTCTACATTGCACCTTAAATTTGTTCTTACATTGCTCTTACTAGACATAGCAATTTAATATTATTGGCTACGTAATATATTACATGCAAATAGATTGTTACTGTTTGGATAGTATTTAGATACAACTTGGGAAATACATTGCTCTTACTTGAGACGTTTAATATAGAATTGTCTATATTACACCTTAAATTTGCTCTTACATTGCTCTTATTAGACATAGCGATTTAACATGAAATTATCTACAAAGAAACCATTTGCATTGTTACTGTTTGGATAATATTTAGATGCAACCTGGGAAATACATTTCTCTTACTTAACATTGTGGAATTGTTTACATTGTACCTTAAATTTGCTCTTACATTGCTCTTATTAGACATAGCGATTTAATAGGAATTGTCTACAAAGAGGCCATTTATCTTTTGTATGCACAATCATTTTTGTCCTATAAATTTCAAAATGGGTGGTTGTATTAGTGTCATTGAATAAATACAATTTTTTTTTATTTAAAAAAACTCACTTTATGACTCACCTCAAGCATCCAATTTGACATCTAATATTTGATAATGATTGTGACCTTCATTCACAAAAGATAAATGGTTTCTTTGTAGACATTCCTATTTAATATTGAAATGCATATGTATAGATAGCATGACTATACCATTCTTGTCATGCCTTAAAGAATAATAACTCAATAATGTGAATTAATATTGGTCATAAACATTGAGTGAACTATTTTAGTCACCACCTTTAAATATCGTTAACTTGTAGTTTAAATAGTAAATGATGATGTATTTTAAAAAAAGTTATTGTGAAATGGTAAAGTATTTTAAAAATTACATTGAGATATTGGAAGAAGCGATTATCCCAAAATATATATATATATATATATATTTTTAAAAAAGAGTAATCATTATAATTTAAATAAAATATAATTTATCAGTTTTTTTTTTCCTATCAAAACCCTAATCCCAAAAAAATTCTCTTTTTTTTTCAAAAGATTTTGTAATCATTATAATTTTTCCACATCCTTATATTTGAGAGATAGCGCATATAGAAGGGAGGCTTGAAGAGGGATATAGAAAGGAGACTCGAAGAGGACATAGAAGAGATGCTTAGTAAAGATAACTGACTTTATCAAAATGGAAACAATGGAACATTTGGTTTCCATGAAAGCAGTGCCTAACGAAGAGAGAAAGGTTGAGGAAGTAAAGAAAATGAGAGAAAAAAAGGTTGAGGAAGTAAAGAAAATGAGAGAAAAAAAGGTTGAGGAAGTAAAGAAAATGAGAGAAAAAAAGGTTAAGGAAGAGTAATAAAGAGAAATTGATACTATAATTTAGAAATGACATTGAATCTGAAAAAAAAAAGGAGATAAATTGATACCATGATTTAGAAATGACCTTCAATCTGGAAAAGGGAACTTGACAAAATAGTAAGGTTGCAGAGAGGGAAAAGCTACCAATGGGAATTGGGAACTTGGGAGAGAGGGAAGTGGTAGGCTTACTTGAGAGGGAAAACGAGGAGCTTGACAAGGAGAGGTTGAGAAGGAAAAGGGGAGCTTGACCGGGAGAGGTTGAGAGAAGATGATGTAAGAGAGGAAAATGGTTTTTTAGACGAGATTACCCATGAGATTTCCCAGCCCTCTAGCATGTAATAGATTTCACGATGCCTGTAATAGATTTGACTATGGTTGCCAGCCCTCCCCGCGTGTAATAGATTTGACTATGGTTGCCAGCTCTCCCGTGTGTAATAGATTTGACTAAGGAAATGTTGTGTAATCTATTTTCATTTCTTATTAATAAATGTACCGCGTGTCATAGATGTCATGATATTTGGGTTACTTGCCCTTTTGTCAAAGTTACTTGTACCCAAACAATGTAAATGTCACATTTCCCAGTAATTATTTCCGTGTAATATATTTTTGTAAAAAAGTGGTAGACTACTTCACCCAAAAAAATAGAACGAGAGAGATGCGAGCCCTCGAGGGTTTGTATGAGTGTATCGTTTTCTATCTAATTTTCAATTAAAAAAAAAGGTAGATTTATAAAATTAAGGTTGTGATGTTCTACACCATTCATATTATTTAAAAGGCATGTATATATTTGATACTGTCTTAAAAAGTGTGTTACTTTTTGATATTATTTTGATATATAAAATCTAGACTGTCCAACTAAAATAGAATGTATAGAACAACAAAAATTTTACTTTCGCAAGTAGGTTGTTGTATAAATCACACTATTTTTTTTCGGGGGTTTGATGGGGCAAAGAAGGTTGGTAATGGCCCGTGCATGGCCCTGGCCCTAGTACCCATAGGGCTGGCCTAGGCTCAATGCAGTCGGGACCAGGCCAAAAACGCTTTAGCCTAAGAGCCCAATTAAGGTTAGGCCAAGCCAAACAAAATAAGAAAAAAAAAAGAAAAAAGAGCCAGGCTGGGCCGAAACGTGCTCGCCTTGGCCCTACCCTCAGGCCGTAGGAGGGCCGGCCCTCGGGCCATGTTTCTTGGCCCGTAGACCCTAGCATGTGAAAAGTTCGTCCGCTTACGCACGAAAAACCTCCCGGGAACTGAAAGCCTAATTAAAGGTTTTAACCAGCGTTTAAAAAAACGCCGAGTCGAACCGGACTCGCCCGGTTCGACTCGAAAATCGTGAAAGGGGACCGGATCGCCTAAAAAATCGAAAATCGTTTGGTTCTAGAGAGAACCGGACGATTCTGTACAGTGAATCACCGATTCACTGTACGGAATCGGCGAGTCCGAACAGTGAATCGGCAAGTCCGTATGGATTTTATTTTATTTTATTTTTTTTTTGTAATCCATGATAGA